TGGCTTTCTTCCCTAATTCCTGCTTTCCTTGCTTAAAAAAGAAGACTAATTCAGATTTTGTGTTCCTGATGGCTGAACCAGTAAAATCGTATTTCCCTGTTTATTAAAAATACGTTTACTGTATATTGTTGCTATTTGTTGTGAGTGTTAAAGAATAGTAAAACAATCCATGCTTGGAATGAGCAGCTCAACAGAAAAAAAGAGAACATTTTTACAAAAGGTGTGAAATTAAATAAGTGCCTGGAATTAATCCCGGGGAATTTGCAGGTTGAGTTAGACACTTCGAAAGGGAACCATTGCTTAGAATGAAACAAGTTCTGGTTATGTTTTTTTTAATTAAAAAAAGGGATTCCTTTTCTGCCATCCGTAGCTGTGAATGCCTTAGGCTTCAACTGAAAATGGAAATGTTCCCCAGAGATGGATGGATGGATGGATAGATAGATGGATAGATGAAGGTAGATAGGTAGATAGACACAGACGAATAGAAGTAGGTAGGTAGGTAGATAGGTAACAGTAGATAGGTAAATAGATACAGACAGAAATAGAAAGAGAGAGAGAGAGACAGACAGACAAACAGAGATCTGATCCCCCACCTCCCTTTTTCCAAAGAAAGTTTGTAAAGTCAGTAGTTTGTGTGGATGAAGTCCTTTCCACTTACATCTGTGTTTTGTCAGCTTGTTTACTCAAAGAGGCCTTCCTGGGTCTGCCCTCCACCTTTGAGGGGGTGTGGGGGGGAAGACTCACACCCTGGGTGGTCTTGAGCACCTTTGGGATTTATAGTGACAACCCAAGCAATTGGCCAGTCTCACTTTCTGCAGGGAAGAGTTCATCAGTTCTAAGTATGAAATAAGCGAAGGCGGTCTCCCCAGTAGATGCTAATTTTAAAACACGGTTGGACTGCCTTGGACTTAAACCATCCCTTTCTTTAAACGTTGTAGATGCAATGGATCTCCCAGCTCTGGGTTGATGAAAAATTCATAACTTGCCTTTGAGGGAAGCAGGCAGATGCATTTAATTTTAAAGGCCTCTTTAGGCAGAAGACTGCACTCTGGCCCCAGATGAAGCTACAGTATGGTAGCTGTGTTTATTAAATCTATTAATAGGTAATTAGTAGAATACATCTGTTGGCTCTCGGTCTATTTCCAAAGTCAAGAAAGAAATTAACTTTTCAATTCCAATTATACACATGGCGACATCACTGCTCTGTATGAAAAACGAAGAAACTCAGAATGGGTCTTTCAGTCACTTTGCTGCCCGTTTTATAGAAGAAGAGTCTGCTCTGTTACTTCATGGTGTGTGTGTAAATCGTTTTAGAATGGGGGTTGGACTAGAAGACCTCCAAGGTCCCTTTCAGTTCTATGAATTCAGGTTTCTTGCAGTTCCACTAGCCCTCTCTTGCCACGGCGTGTGGGAATATCTTAATCACCTCACACCTTATTTCCATCTTTTCTGATGAAAATTTAAGCATTTACTAAGGAAATACAAATTTAGGGAACATTAGATAATTCTTGAAGCTGACATTATCAGGATTGATCAGTAAATTCAGCCTAGCGTCTCATTTTTCCAAGAGTTGTGTCCTGGTAATATATTTGTTAGCATAGGCGCAGTGTTGACAATATTAAATTGTTAATATACCAAATGCCTTTCATTATATTTCCCAAGAATCTTTCTCACTTACTTTTAGCTACAAAGAGGAAGAAATATCTTCGAAGTGACATCTCTGTGAAAATGCAGGGATGGCTTTTTTTCATTTTAAAAAAATCTATTACACCAGCCAAAGGTGACAGGGTTTCTGATAATACGTAATAAAAAAAGAAAAATCCAATAAAAATAGCGGAATGAATTTTTTAAAAAAAATTGCAGGAAACTAGAAAAATCCTGAGTTAAAAAAAGGGAAGAATTATTTGATCAGTCTTTCAAGAAAAGATGAATCAAGCCTTGAAATGTTTTTCTGCAGGAATGGTCAGTAGTCCCAGCCAGCCAAGATGGTGGGCTGCCCACAAACCATAATTTTGCCCTTCAGCTTGGCAGTTCAATCCTGCAGCAGCAAGAAAAAAAACCCACTGTACCCATTTCATTGATTTAAATACTGGTAGACTGAGGCACAACGAGATTGGTATCACGGTTGTTTTGGTTTTTACTCAGAATTGATTTCAGGGGGGGCCTTTTGGGAGCAGATTTGTCAGATTTTAACTCCACATCCACTGCCTTGGACTATGTCTTGTATTCTTTTAGAAGGCCCTTTCCTCTTTCCCCCCATACTGGAAATTGTAAAAATTAATCATGGATCTTCCACCTACCCTTCCCCGTCCTCCCTGCTCTTAGTTGCAATGTATGGTAATTAGACAGCAGAAAAACTACATAAAGTTTAATGCGGCAGTGGAGTACGATGTTAAATTATCTCAGACTGCATCCATTAATTAAAGAAAAGTTCTGCCAGAAATGGGTTTTTCCCTCCCTCCTAATCTTTAAAAAGTGTATTGCTCTGTTCCAAACTGACTCTCTAAGGGTAGAAAAAGGAAAGCTGGGGAATAATTGCTATTGCGATTATTAGAGGGTAAAACGGCCTGAACCTGGATGACGATCTGAGCTTTGAAGTTGGGGTGGTAGATAGAAGTGTCCATCTTGAAGTCAAGGAAAGCCACCATTGAGAAGAGATGGTAGCCAGAGGACTGGGTTTCATTTGGATGCCTTTTCCATGGTCCAAGGCCTCCTCCATCACTGGTGTGGGTCCAGAGCAGAGGGGAGGGGTCTTCTACAGTTCACCTGGACAAGATAGAGATGTTGACTTGCTGTAATTTGATGAGAGAATGGTGGTGACCAGGCCAGAAAGCAAAGGGCGATGAGGTTTGCAGGACCATGGACAACTCCAAAGAAGCTCTAGCTGGGTTGGGAAGCAGAGAGGAAGGGAAGGCTTCCGGGTCATGGCTTGTTGGGTTTGTGCAGCACTGTAAGTCGTAAATCAAGGTTTCCATAGCACAGAGTCTGGATTCACAGAATCAGCTCAACCAAGACTGAAGAAAACCAACATACCGATGTATTGTGTGACACTTCTCGTTTTTGAAAATGTGGAGGAATGAACTTCCTCTACAGATCCCTTTCCTTCATTTTGGGTCAGTCCCCTTATGTGTTTTCTCCACTATTGTGTAAGTGCTACAGATAACCCATGTCCCTAGGGGGATTTGGAATGCTAAGTTACGACATCCCAGGTTCTTGGGAATAACTCAATGAGTATCAAGCCAATGACAATTAAAGAACTGGCTACTTATGTAATAATAAACCACCATCATTACCTTGATGGAAGAAACAGCATAAAATTCCAATAGATGAGAATATTGTAGCTCAGGTTTGAACCGTGGGGTCCTTGAAGTTCTCTGAGCTTAGTTGTTGACTTGCAGACATTTCAATATCCAACTATGTAACATCATCAGTGTGAGGGCGTGTGGGGTTTTCTCCCTATCTATATACAGTCCCTTGCCCTCCTAGCATTGGTAGAAGCATGGTTTTCTTTTTGGAAGTTTCTTAGTTTTGTTTTCTGTTTGATTGTTTGTCTGGTGTTAATCCCTGCTTGTCTGGGTATCGATCACTGGATATTTGTTTTTATAGGAGTTTAGCCATCCTAATAATTTGGAATAGAACAGAAATATGAATTTTCAGAAGTGCTCATTGATGATAATGTTGTTACCTAGTCAGGGAATGGAACCTTTGCAGAGAACAACCAAGCTCGGAGAGCACCAAGGACTCCACAACGTTTAAAGTGCCCGATGCATAATCAACTTTATTTTAATGTGCGATGTGCTTCACCTTAATGACAACCTTCACTAAAAGGTGCTGTGAGCACCAGGCCCCAGGCTTTTAATCTTGCTAAGTGGCTTAATTTTCAGCTCTGTCTTCTTGTAGGGACCCCCACAATAGAAATAATCTGTAATTCAGTCTCAGTTTGATTCTAATGTGAGCAGAGAACAAGATGAGGAGAATCCAAACAAGCTTCAATTTTCCATGGGAATCATTTTTTAGGGGCTCAGTGTTCCTCCCCCTCTTTTTTTTTCCATTCTATTGAAAGCTGCTTTGCCAGGAAAGGTGAGCAACCTGCAAAGTGTCAAAGTGCTTGTTAAGTTTCCATCCCTTTATTAATGGTGCCCTGGAGGTTTGGAGGGCAAAGATGGTGTGGGACTACTTAGCATTCAAAGAAAAGGTAATGCCTGCATGTCACAATCCACCCGTCTCTTTTTTCCTTTTGCTGTGCTAATTCACAGGCTGCTGGGATTGGGGGGCGAGGCATTCTTGGATCACCTGAGCAGCAGAGGGCTTTGCATGCTGGGGACCAATTAGTGGAAAATGCCCAAGGCCTGCAGGCAGCTTCAGAGAGAGAAAGAGGATCCATGCACTTTAGCACTTGCCCAAATTACAGAGTTGGAAGGGACCTTGGAGGTCTTCTAGTCCAACCCCCTGATCAGGAAGAAAACCCTATATATTTGAGACAAAGGGCTATCCAATCTCTTCTTGAAAACCTCCAGGGTTGGAGCACCCAGAACTTCTGAAGGCAAGTCCTTCCACTCGTTAATTTTTCTCATAGGAAGTTTCTGCTTAATTCTAACTTGGATCTCTCCTTGATTAGTTTCCATCTATTACTTCTTGTCCTGCCTTCAGGTGCTTTGGAGAAGAACTGGACCCCTCTCTTCTTTGTGGCAGCCCCTCAAATATTAATACATGGCCATCATATTTCCCTTTGTCCTTCTTTGAATGGACATACCCAGTTTAAGCTTCCAGATTCCTAAACACCTTTGTTGCTCTTCTCTACACTCTTTCCAGAGTCTCAGTATCTTTTTTGTATTGTGATTACCAAAAACAGGATGCAGTCCTTTATCTCCTGAATTTCTCTGGCTTTTTATATCTTTCTCCCAGAAAACCCTTAATAACATGGCTATCGTGATTGTCTTGCCTGCTGACTTACTAACCACCTTCTCTTTCCTGTTTTTTTTTTTTTTTTTGCTTTTCAGAAGCCTTTGAAATGGTCGTGCGCCACGCGAGGAACTACACCAACTCTATGTTCAGGAGCTACTATCGCCATGTGGCTGCCAGGACTTTTAAACTGGTGGGGGAACTCTTCACTGACATCTCCCTGTACGTCTTGGGCTCAGATATCAGCGTCAATGACATGGTCAACGAGCTCTTTGACAGCTTGTTCCCCTTGATCTACCCCCACGTGATTCATCCAGGAGCCCCCGACCCTCCTGTGGAGACCCTGGAGTGTCTGCGGCTAGCCCGGCGAGACTTGAAGGCTTTTGGCCCCTTCCCCAAAATCATGATGACCCAGGTGTCCAAGTCCCTGCAGGTCACCCGGGTCTTCCTCCAGGCGCTCAACCTTGGCATTGAAGTAGTCAACACCACTGATCACTTGAGGTTCAGCAAGGAGTGTGGACGGGCGCTCCTGAAGATGTGGTACTGCCCCCAGTGCCAGGATCTGCTCCTGGCCAAACCGTGTGTGGGATTCTGTGGCGGGGTGTTGCAAGGATGCTTGGCCAGTGTGGTGGAAATCGACAGTTACTGGCGGGAATATCTACGCTCTCTGGAAGGGATGGTGAAGGGCATGAAGGGCACCTACGACATAGAACATGTGCTACTCAACCTCTTCTCTTTGGTTCAGGATGCCATCATTTACATGCAGAGGAACGCTGGGAAATTGGTCACAACCGTAAGTTCTTCTTTTACTAGAGCCATTTGTCAGGGTGTGGGTTACCGATGTTACAGGAAAGTCCTCCCCTCCCTCAGAAAGAAGGAAACACACCTTCTCTCAGTGGGGAGAGAAAGTTGGTGGACCATTCATGACACCTAGAGCCAGCAGTTGCTGCTTTGGCTGGTGGGCTTCCATAAAGACGTGGCCCAGAAGACACTTGAGGACATTCCTTCTTTAACCAGCATCTTTGTCTCCCTGAAGAAGACTTGGAAGCAGCTGAGATCATATTGTAGGTCACGGTATGGCCGGGTTATGGACCGTAAAAGGTTCCAAATTTTTCTTTCCCTGCTCTAATTTTAAGATGACGGCTTGATAAATGTGGCCAGCCGCAAGACGTCCTTTTTGTCGGAAAAAAGGAAATGAGGCTGATCTTAATTTTCTCCCATCTCAGGAACCCCTGAAAGAGCCTGACTTGCATTTGTCTTTTTTCTCAGTTGGCTGCTCCGAAGGAAACACACCTGTCTTGGGTTTTTTTCCTTCCTGAAGATTCCAGTATGGCAATTTCGCAAGTAATAATGAAGGTGAAGCTGATTGTTTGCTCTGAATAACCCCCACTTTCTGTAGGGAGACTCTCACAATGTGAACTCAACTTGGGAGGGCCACACGGACAGACCCATGTTGCTTCCCCAGTAATACTGTAGCATGAAAATAAGTGGTTCTTCTGAGAGATAGATAGGCAGGCAGGTCTTCCTAAGTTCTTGGTGGTCTCCCTTGCTTCGTGGATAGGAATCCAGGGCCATCCATGCCCCCCCCCCTCCAAAATGTGCCAATGGTAACCCCATGACCCCCATGCAGGCTGGGGAATGCTGGGAGTTGAAATCCGCCTGCCTTAAAGTTGCCAAGTTTGGAAACGCTACTAAATGAAGCCATGAAGGGGGTTGATGAAGGATTTCTAGAGCTCCCTAATTGCCAGGCATTAGCTGCCTTGGGAGGGGGGCGGGCAGAGGGAAGGCAGGTGATTTTAAGCAAATGGCTTTTCTGTTCTGGCGTTAATAACTCGTGAACAATTTACTGGTACATTAAAGGTAAACAAAGATTCAAATGAACAACCCGGGGAGAGTCTTGATTAAGACACTACTGGTAAAGGAAAGCGTCAGGTGTTTCATTATTCGTTGCAGCAGAAAGTGTTGCAAAAACCCGCAAGGAAGACATGCAACTTCCCGCAGCCTATCATAAGGAGAGATAGGAAGGCAGCTCACCCCCTTTTCTGAAGAGGCTCAGATCCATTTTGATCTAAATGGCTCCCAGACAATTGTTGGTAAGAGTAGCTTGTGGTGGAAAGCCTAATAAATAATAATTGCATGGGATAAAATCAATTCAATTTGTACAGGAAGAACAGAAAAGTTGGGTTATTAGGTGATTGATCTGTTAACCTCTCAGCGAGACAAAGGTGGGGGTGCAGGAGGTGCCAGGGGCTTACGCACGCTATGACATCCTTGTGAGAATAATGCAAATTGTATCATGTGCAAAAGTGCATTTTTGTCTGTAGACACTCGATGTGAATGTAAACCTGGGCACAGACCCAGACCAGTTGTGGATGGAAACACCCCACATGGAGAAAAAGCTGTTTCCAGATATTAATAGCTGCCTTATTTTTGTCCTGTGCGCTGTGTCCTTGAGCACTCTCCCATCACTATGCCTCTGATCTGTAATAATTTTTATACCTTGTTATCTCTCGGGTTCAGCTGTTATGTGTTGGCGTAGCTGGCTGCCTCCAGTGGCATTTTTAAATCTATGCTTTTAAATCTGGGCTTCCCACTCTGAGGCCACCTCTGAAGTTCACTTGATGTGGGCGAAGGAGTGGCAGAACCCGGGGTGGAGTCAAAAGAGGAATCAGTCTAGAGTCTGTATGTAGCCACAAACTGACCAAGTCCCACCCCTCTTGAATTCTGTTGTCTTTTACCTAATGCCAAGAGGGTGCCAACCGGTTACTTTAGATTCCTGTGCCTAGGCACGTTTAGTAATAAATCAATTTATTACTAATTTGTGGTCCTGATCTTTTGCCCCTGGTGCATGATACCGCTCCAAATTGGAGGGGAAAATGTTTGCACTTAGAAAACAAGCAGGTCAGGGAAACAGTTCTTGATTTTCCTGTTATGTTCTTTTTTTGCTTTCCCTTTGATCTTCAATGTTGCGTTTCTGCACAGCAAGCCAACTTTGACTTAGGGTTTTTTGACGCTCATCTTTATTGCTTCTATTTACATTTCCGATTTACTGCTGCCCTGCCCAGGGAACGTGAATTACTTACATATATAAAAGCATAATAAAGAGGCAAATAAAAACTGCCTTTTAAGAACGAAGTCCCCATTAGGAAACATCCTAAGCCAGGAACCGCAGAAAGCATCAGTGCCCATTACGGAAAGAGATTTCGTGAAGGGCAATAAAAGTGATTTAGAGAAAAGGTCGTGTCCAATCATAACAATTCTCAGCAATTAGGCATTTCTTCCAGCCTGCAAAACTTACTCATCCACCGCTGATTGTGTTAACCAGGACAGAGAAGCAATTTTTAAGGCTCAGGTACGTTCAGCTATAAATGCAGGAGTCTGCAATTGCATTTCTGAGCCAATGTCACTGTAACCTACGCAGCGAGATGGACTGTATAAAAAGCCCATTTTCAATAAGACTTTAAAGCAGCCAGTTTAGAGGGAGGGCTGGAAAGGGGAGGAGGAGGAAAAATGAAATGGCAACCTGCCCGCTTACCCCGAAGCGCATCACCTTTCTTCAGGATGTCTGGGAGAAGATTGGGAGATCAGAAAAGAATCTTTTGCCCTGCCAGCAAAACCTTTCAACCCCTGCTCACAAGCCCAGGGTGGATATTTTTCAAGGTAAAAATTTTTCAGCTCTCCTCCAAGTCCCTCCACTTCCCTGAACAGGGGGATAACATTTTGCAAAAGATGAAAGTGCCTGCAAGTGATTGACAGCCCTGCAACATTAAAAGAGAAGCTTCTCAAATTTTCCACTTCTTCAAACCCCTAAGACAGCCTTTGAAAGAAAGCAAAAACCGACCTGTCTACTTTCTCTGCCTACCAATACAGGCAGTCCTGAGGACAAAAAAGAAACAGTCTGGGTTAGGGGACCCTGAAAGGAGCTGGTGTTTGCTGTTTTATACCGGCTGAAAATATATTTAGTGGAGATTTAATCTGATTGTGCAGCCTTCTGCTGAGGTTTGAAAAGGTCTAGATGAGAACCAAAAAATGATGCACCGAAAATCACGCACGGCCTTTATATGCTAGACTTTGGAAGGGGATACTGGCAGTTCTCATCTTATAACAGTACATTTAGTGACCGTGACAAAGCTCATGGAAAAAGGGACTTGTGACCATTTTTCAGTTGACCACTGCAGCATCCCCAGGGTCACGTGATCAAAATTCAGACTATATTGCAACTGACTTGTATTTATGACGGCCGCAGCGTCCGGGGGTCCTGTGATCCCTTTTGCAACCTTCTGACAAGCAAAATCCATGGGGGAGACCGGATTCACTTAACAACCGTATCCCTAACCGAACAACTGCAGTGACTCACGTAGCAACCGTGGCCAGGTAAAGGAATCCCTGGGGATTTTACTCGGCTGGTCGTTGCCAGGAAGGACGTAAAATGGGCTTAACAACAGAATTGTTGGGCTCAACTGTGGCCATAAATCAAGGATTCCCTCTAATAAACTGCGTGACTTCTGTGCCCGTGCACCAGTGGGCCCTCCAAGAGAGACCCAAGCCAGAGGGCATCGTTTTAACAGCTGGACCCTTGTCATTCGGTGGGTCTCTCTGGGTTGCTCCCATCATCCCCTGCCTGGCCTGGCTCCCGAGGAGGCTCTTGCTGGGGAATGCCAATCGAAACCCTTGGGGATGCTCTGATCCTTTCGAAAAACACGATTATTACCAGCTCTTAATGAAGCGGCCATAACAGTTCTTGTTGTACCGAACTGCCGCCTTCTCTAAACATGGGCACTTGCCCTGAAGATGCTAATCAAGAGGAAGAGAAGGAGAAAAAGAGGTTTAATTAAGCCACTCTGCCAGCCTGGGTCCCCTCCTCCCTCCTCCGCGCCGGTTTTATGGGCAGCCACTCGTTCAGGGGCTTATTAAAGTCACGGCCGGACAAATTAATGCTCCGTTTCTGAGAATGTTGCTCTTGACTCCAGTGACAGGGATCAGGAGCCCAGCACAGGCGCCACTAATTGTGCAAATCACCTTAGAAAAAAGTGGAGCTCATGACTTGCTCATCCCCAGACTCGTGCCCTGTGGATTTTTTCCCCCATTCTTGCAAAAGACCTCTGTGCATCATGAAGCAACCGGCAGGGAATCAGGCTTCCCAGAATCTGCAACTGAACGTCGGTGGCCTCCTAAATTCTGGCCTCGGTTGTCATCGTAAGTTGAGGACTACCTATAATTCAGCTTTCTTACTATTAATGCATCACACACTTACGCCCCACTTCTCGCTGTCACATTTACAGCTGAAGAAATGTGTTTGGGGCAGAGACAATCTAGAGATGAAGATTAGGCACAGCATAAGCTGGTGCTTTGCTTTGCAAGCTCCACCTGAGAAAATACCTTTATTTTAGCAAAGGTGTGTTTTCTTCTTTTTCTTTCTTCTTCCTCAAAAAAATCAGTCCAGTTGCCTTTTCAAAAAAAAAAAAAAAAAAAAGCACTTTTGGGACAGCCACGACCTAGATGACTGAGAATCTTCATAGATCTTTATTCTAGCAGTTTAATAAAGTGCCTGCCTCATTTGACTGAGAACTTTTGTAGACTTTCTAAGCATAGGAACTCTCCTTCCTCTCTCTGTCTCTCTCCCTCTCCCAAATAATATATATATATTTAAATTTTCCTAGATCTGATGTTGGGGTGATTGTCACTCTGCTCAATTTTGCTTGATATCTGTTGGTGGCCTCCTTATCTTTGTTCAAGGCATGTTTTCCAAGAAGCAGCCGTGAATCGATGAGATAGAAACGATGTTCTTGTTTTTTCTTTAAAATGTTTGCGTTTTGTTGTCTTTTCGCATTTTGGCAGTGAATTATTTAAAGCTGCTGCAATATTGAAACATCCTCAGGGTGTGAAATATGTCTTCCTGGTGAGGTCATGTCAGGAAGGTTTACATTTAAACTAATACCTTTATGTAGTTTTTCTTTATTTGTTATTTTTAAAGCTCATCACAGATTTATTAAAAATTGGTTTCCGAGCTGTTCTAACCACGCTGAAAATTACTTTATAAAAAGTCTTTGCATTTCTGTATGCATTTCGACCCACTGACATCTCCCTGGTCCAAATGCCAGCGGTTCCAGCAGGAATGTCAGTGGGGCATAAAGAGAGCTTCTCCACAACCAGGTTTTTGCCTGCGGCACTGCAGTGTATATGTGGGGGGGGGGATGCAGAAAAAGAAAGTGAGGGAATGTGCTCCCTTTCCCCAAAAGGCTGAAACTCAGAGGAGGAACCAAGCAGCTGGGTGTGCCAGGTGCCAGGGCTGCCTTGCAAGATCTCAACCCATAATTAAAGCAGAGATTGTGAAGTGCAGCAGTTATGCCTGCTATTTCATGGAGTCAGGAACAAGTGTATGTATTCTGGAATGGATTTCCTGAAACACACAATTGGGGGTATTTGGTGGTGGCCTCTTGTAACGGAGGAGAAAGAGGAGAAGCTACAGGGCAGCAGAAGGGAAGCAGGAGAGAGAGTGCCCACTTCATTTTTTCCCAAACCAGGAATCGGGGTTTGTAATTTTTCCCTCGTGCACAATGAACCCTAGTTGGTTGCTTGCTGCACTTTCTGAACTTCCTTAGAGCCTCGCACGTAGCCTCAGGTGGAACCTGTGACTTACCGTTGCATTCACGGACAGCAGTGTTTTTCAGTCTTGGCCATTTTTCAGGTGTGTGGACTTCCGGTCCCAGAATTCCCCAGCCAGCCTTGCTAGAGTATTTTATTTATTTTTAAATTTTATTTGCTGTCCATCTCACTGCAGTGCCACTCTAGAGTACGGACAGATGCAAAGCTCCATATTTCCTCATGCCCCAGGAATTCACAGCCTCTGAATCGAACAGGAAGTGTAAATCTACTTCAACTTAGTGACAAATCTCATTTGATTTGCAGTTTCAAGACTCGCAAGGAAGTGGTTTTAAATTATTCAGAGCTTGAAAAGTGCTGGAATTCCTGATTTTGGGTTTTTTCCCTTGCAGGTCAGCAAGCTGTGTGGCCCTTCCCAGCAGAGGCAACACCGATCGGCGTGGAATCCCGAAGACCATGTTGCTGGCCAGAGGATGATGGGTGCCCCTCTGGTGGAACCCCAAGAAACCTTATCCAGTCGAAAGAGGTGAGGAAACCAGGTCGGCTTCCCAGGTTGGACTTTGTGCTGAGGACACTCTCTACTGGTGGTCCTTGACTTGCGACCGTTCAAAGTTACGACAGCATTGGTTTTCAACCAGTCCTCACATTTACAACTGTTGCAGCATCCTCACGGTCACCTGATCCAAATTGGGGCGCTTGGCAACTGGGCATGGATGGCTGCAGAATCCCCAGGAGAGGGTCCCAGGATCACCATTTGCGACTTTCTCAGCCAGATTCTGATAACGGGGGAGGCTGGCCAAAAAGGCTGTAAAATCAGGCATGTCTTAACTTACCAACTGCCTTGCTTAATGGAAATTCTTGTCCCAGTTGTGATGATAATTCAAGGACTATAGATTCTCCTGCTCGAGCGGGGGGGCTGGCTAGAAGACCTCCAAGGTCCCTTCCAGCTCTCTTCTATTCCTTCTGGAAGAACAGGTGCTCGAAGTGGCGTTGATGCTTGCCTGACCGCTGAGTGGCCTGGCCCAGCCGCTCATCCCAATCCAGAAACGTGTGAAAATAAACGGAGGAGCTGAGAGTTACAGGCCGTATCTGCCCTCTGGTGACTTAGCTCAACGGAGCCTCCGTGGATTTCCTGAACCTGGGTTGGGACCTAACCAGCAGGTGACTTTCCCGCTCACCTCCAGAGCCAGAGTCAGGCCTTCTGGGGCTCTGATCCTGCTTCAGGCTTTTGAAAAAAAGGCAAAACCAGAACTGGAAGTGCCAGCTGGGCATCCTCCCTGGGATGACTTCGTTCCTGTTCAGACGGGAAGAGGGTTTCCCGTGTCCTCTTGTTTGTTGCTAAGCCAGGAGCAGACAGACGTCCCAAGGAGCCCATTGTGCAGCCTTGGTCTGTAATTAAAGCAGCATTTTGTGGCCTTCCAGCTCGGAACAAATATAGCAGGAGAGGGGTTTATATATGGCATTTAAATGGTCAGAGAATGTGATCATTAGTGTCAGAAGTTCTTGGAGAAACAAAGCTGCAATTTTCAGCTCAGAAACCCACCCTGTGTTCTTCTCCTTCTCCTTCCCTCCCCCCACCCCCACCCCCCAAGCCTGTGTCGGTAAGATGCTTATTTCAACTAGCTTTTTTCTGGAAAAGATCCTGACTAATAGTAGAGTAGCGGATTCTGTGATTTGATTGATGAAGTGGGATGCATCTTCCCAGCCCATCTGTGTTTTAAGTGGCAGTTTGAAAGAAATCAAGAGGAAGTTTATTTCAGCCCATCTTGGTTCCAGAGAGGTGTATTCAGAAGTGTTCCGTCTGGTTACGTTGCTAGGATTAAAAAAAAAACAACCCTCAACAGAAATTCTGCTGGAAAATGGGATTGTGCGTTATCAGAAAACACACATTTGAGCTGGAGTTTTCAGCAGCGAAGGGGGTCCAGATCTGAAAGAGCAGAACCCCCAGGGCATCGGAGTGACTTGTCCTGAAGATAAAACTTTAAAGAAGGGCGTCCAACCTTGGCAACTTTTAAGACTTCAACTCCCAGAATTCCCCAGCCGGCCCAAAGATTGTAAAATCAGGCACGGTCATCTGGTGACTTGCTTACTGACTGCAACAAGTTACGACCATAATTCTGGGCTCAATTACAGTCGTAAGTGGGGAGGACTTGTATGAGGATAAGGACAAGCCTGCACAGTTTATTAGAATAGAGAAAGAGTGAATAAAGGAGGGAGAAAAGGATTGTGGTTGTTTTTCCTGGCCCTTGTACGTTGCACAACTGATCTGTAGCATGTCCTTATTTTGCTGCTCATTTGCATGCTGGCTTGTTTAGATCCCAGTTAGTTGCTGGCTTCGCCCTGAGCATGCCTTCCTGGCTGCCAGCGTGCACCCAAGATGCATTTGGTCTCCCCTGCAAATGCATGGAGCTGCCTGCCGGCTGCTTCCCACAAAGCCAAGACATTGTTTTAAGTTGTGGGTTTATTTATTTCTGAGTTTTATTGGTTGCCTGATAGCTAATAGTTGTCAGGAGGCTGTGCAACATAAGCATAAAATTCGGTCTCCCAGGAATAGAGAGCAATGAAGCAGTCAGCTTGGTTTTTCTCCCTCTGTTAAAATGCAGCACAAGTTGAAAGGCTGAAAGACAACACACACACACACACACAAAATGTCATAGCTTTGAAAATGAGAAATGGAGCAGAGTTGCCGAAATGTAAGAAGGCAAAGGTCACTAAAGGGAAGATAAAAAACATGTTTCCTGGATGGGCGATTCTACAATGGACCACCTTGGGTAGGAATATGCAGGGCAGGATGGCTGCTTTCTTGGATAGTCCTTGACTTACAATCATTCGTTTACTGACTGTTTCAAGTTAGGGTGGCACTGAAAAAAGTGACTTAGAACCAGACATATTTAGTGGTCATTGCACCATCCCCAGAGTCATGTGATCAGTACCCCAAATTTGCAAAGTTTCTTCCCGATAAGATTGGCACGATTGAGATTTTAGCTGGGTGGAAATGGTGTCACTTATCTTTGGCAAATTCTTGCGTGCTTTTTCTGCAAAATGCAGCAGCCAGAGAGATGGAAAGTTCAGAAATGGCATCGATAAGCCACTGAAGAGTGCCTGGGGAATATGGAACCCAGGATCCTTGCAGATTCTGGGTTCCACATTTAGCTTGTCCACCGAAACTGCACAGTTGAGCGAGCTGTGGAAATCCAGTGTTGTTGTATGTCTGCAGGAGATCTTTCTCACTCATTTTACTCTGCTTACTGTGTTTTTTATGGTGCATTTTTAATTTCCTGTTACCTTGATTCCTTTTTTATCTGGCCAGCTTCTGAGTAAAATAAAATCACATAAATTCTAGGCTAAGTGGATCAATAGAGTTTATAAAGCAGCTTTTTTCATACATGTGCCTGGAAGACTATATCACCCCAGAAGAGTTGCTGTTTTAAGCTGTTGGTTGAATTGGCACAGATTAAAGTGTGCCTTCAAATACGGGGCAGAGTTCTGCATATCCAACAGTGCATTAGTGCCACCTAGTGGCAGAGAGCAGTATATAACACATCATTTGAGCATCCATGCTCACCATAATTATCCTCCTTCAACGACTGAATTTTCCTTGAAATCTCACAGAATCGATAAACCCAAATTATTAATGACAATGAGACAGATATGTGAGTTCTTCCTGGATTGTGGGAGATTCCTGCATTCTTGCTTGTGGTCTGAGCATGGCATTCATTTCTCAACTTTAGCCAACTTTAAGATGGGTGGATTTCGACTCCCAGAATTCCCCAGCCAGTATGGCTGGCTAGATAATTCTGGGAGTTGAAGTCCACCCATCTTAAAGGTTGAAAAACACCGTTCTTCCATTTCAGTTGGAGGAAATGAACTGTTATTCTAATGTAATGCATGATTGGGAAGACCTACAAGGTCCTATGCTTTTGAGCAAAGATAAAACAATTGTGTAGCTTTGCTTACAATCTACTTTTGTGTTTTTTTCCTTGCAGAGAACTTGTTACCAAACTGCGGGCTCACAGTGGCTTCTACAGCAGCTTGCCAGAATATATTTGCAGCCACAGTTCCACAGTGCACAACAACACATTTTGCTGGAACGGACATGAAGTGGTGGAAAGGTATCTCCGTTCTCGTCTCCTTCCCCTTCTTTGAATTCCTACAGCTGGCCAAATTTTCATTTTTCATCTGTTCCACCAACCCGCTTTCAAGTGGGTTAAGCAGGATGTCCCAGAAGTGGGCGCAACCACTTGAGGAATCCCCAGACTGGCCAATGGCAGATGGACATGGCAATGCTCTGAAGACAAAATGGGGAATTCTGGGAGTTGAAGTCCACATATGGAAACCAATGGACATCAGTTGAATCTCAATCAGGGCTGTTAGATCTGGTCTGCCAACATCTGGACCACAGTAAAGTGGCAGCAAATATATATAAAACATCCACCTCTGGAGAGACTCATTGGATATTTTATGACTTTGGAAATAAAAATTGTAAGGAGAACATTTTAGTTCTGAAAATTTATTTTTATTAAAAAAAAAAACTTTAGGTATACACAATCCAACCTTTGGATGTTGTTGGATGGTCAAGAAGCAAATTAATTAAATTTACAAGTAGCAAATTGCCAAGAAGCTCCCTTCCTCCCACTCACCCACCCAGGTCTGTGGGTTTCTGGAACTTCAGCAAAGTCTTTCAAGTGATGTTAGTGTAAAAGAAAGAAAAGGAGGCTTAAGAAAAATGGCATCCTCTGTTTTTTTTCCCTTCACTTTTTTGCAGCAAAGAAACAGTTTGCTCTTAGTTTGGGAGGGTGCACAAGTTTGATTGTAGCAGGACACTAAAGCGTGTCCTTTGCCATGCAACAGGGCAGGGATTCCAGCAGATGGCACCAGGGGAATAGCTGCCTGGCCTCAAGACCATGGCCAAGTTCAAAGCTTGCCTCCTCCACCCCCTCTCCCTTGCCCACCCCCAGCTTTCAGCAGCACCTTTTATGGATCCTTCAGACCTTTTCAACCCTTTGCTGCATTCCCTTTCCCCCCCATTTCCACTCCTCTGATTTCTCCTGTCCTGCCGGCTAAGGTCTTCCTTCTCCATGATTTGGAGAAGTTCATGCTCAGCTTCCTTTGTCCACCCACTGCTGGGCGAATTGGAGGTGCAGGGGAGGCTGTGGATGATGGATTATGAAGTCCAACTGAGAGTTCGGAAGACCATCCTGGAGCCAAAATATTTTAAGCTGTACCTGAATGGACACCAGACCTTCCTAGGGTTCAAGAATTCAGAAAAGATCCAGCTTAACCCTGTGAAGGTCCTCAAAGGAATCCAGATTGAAGCTGGCAAGCCGGCTTTGCTCCAGCACCAACTTGGGCAACCCCTGGCACCAGGTTCTGGCTAAGGCAGAGTGAAACGCTGTGGTTTATTTGTGCCCTGATCTTTCGGGTCTTCCCTCTGCAGGTACAGCCACCCACCCACCAGGAACGGAGGCCGATCTCAGTTGGGGCAGCATGAGGCAAAGGCCAAGGGTCCCGAGCCGGTCATTAGCCAGATCATTGACAAGCTGAAGCACATAAACCAGGTGGGTGCTGCTGCTGCCTTCTCTTGGGGACTGGAGGCAGGAGGTGGGATGGGGGGGGGGTTCAGTCGGGGTTACCAATGTCAGGGAGATGGGGCTGGGGCTGCCCACGGGGCTAAGCAGTTATGGGGTGTGCCATGCCGATTGCAGATTAACATGCAAACGCTATATTAGGATTTAAAAACCACTGTTCACGGTTTAGCATCCTGCAGGTTAGTTACTTTTCCTTCCTCCCTCCCTCCCTCTTAAACTCCCTCTTAAACTCCCTTTGAGGACTTCTCCTCCCTTCCCCCATTAATTCAGGGGGGGGAGATCCCAGTGAAAAAGTTGAAGCTAAAATATGTGGAGAGCCAGGGAAGACTAGAAGAGATTCAAAAATCATCTGGTTTGAACTGGAGCTTCTTTCTGCAAGACTAATCTCCAAACGATTTTATTTATGATTATGTCCAGTGTAACGTCTACCCATTACAGATTAAGCTCTCCAGTTTCAGACCCACTTCAGAATAAGAGGCCTGGCATTTCTTTCCAAATTTAGACACCCCTCCCTAATTACCCGCCTTGGAGAAAGCCATTAGAATAACCCTGCCTCAGACCTTCTGGGGGAGGGGCAATCCTTGATTCCTTTTCTAAGCGTGAAGGGGGCAGAGAGGGAGAGGCAGGGGAAGGAGGGGGTTAAACGCTGGAGATCAAACGCCCAATCTCCCTCATTTGCAATTCATAAGCCATTTTCAAGGAGGGCTTTGCAGAAGGGATGGAACTGAGCAGGATGGGGGTGGAGGTGAGCTGGATGGGAGGGAAATGCTCCCCCCCCAACCCCGACCCCAGAGGTTACACAGAAATTAAACCTGGAAAATATTTCAAGCCCTCCTTATCACAGATCTTGGAGGGGGTCACCAACCCACCTGTGTCTTTATTTGCAACGTGGGACCTTCCCTTCCAACTCTGCAGGTGGCTCTGCCAAGATGCTAGTCCTCTTGAATTGCCCCACACAGGAAGTGGGGGATGGGGGAAGCAACTAGGTGAAAAATGGGGATCTAGCAGTCCTGGGAAGCTGATCAGATGCGACTCTGCCCAAATTCCAGGTCTGCCTTTCATTTTAATTATATTAACTGACTGGGGCCTTTGTAAGGTATCTTCCAACAACCTCTGACCTCTTCTGGAATGATGTTGTGGTCCTTGTGCCACCTGAATGGGCACAGAGCTTTGTATTGTTTCAGCAAGGAGTAGGAGAGACCATGAAGATGCTACATGTTAATGGTGTGAAGATGCTACATGTTAATGGTGTGAAGATGAAGGTTGTGGGAAGGACGGTTGTGAACAGGCAGTTGGGCCTCTCCTATTTCCACCATGAGTGAACTGAGCTGAACTTGGTCTGCAGCTCAGCTCACCCATATTGAGTGGAGGGTTCTGCTTTCTTAAGTTTCTTCGCCAGGGCTTGAGATGTGAAAGTCATCTGGGCTCTGCTGGAGAGCCCTTGTCTCTGCTGTCATTCTGCCTGCCCTCTTTTTCTTGCCAGCTGTCCAGCAGGCTGGTGTTTAATCAACACTTTGGCACCCCTCTTGGATTTCAAAGGGAGCAGCCCTCTCTTTGAGGAGCCCACTGCATGTGGGGGCATTTATCAACCTAACAGGAGCATGCCAAAGGTAAACAGAAAAGGGAAATGGGCCCTGGGCATCTTGCAACACACTGGAGCAATTAACCAAATTTGTTTATTGAGATATCAAGTCAGCTCACACACGGAGGGCTACCCGGACAGCTTCTACATTACGGGGCTTGTGCAAAAGAGCCTGTGCCAATATTATGACCAGGGAACATAGTTTAGGGCTTTAAGGGTTGTGGATGCTCAGCTATTATGGTTTATTCAATCAATCCTAGTTCTAAAAAACATGGTGCATGAACTGATCTAGCACGCAACCAGCAGAGCCTTCCTATGTATGATTGCGTTGTCCCTTTCAGAAAAGTAAAACCACGGTTCCTGTGATCACTTCCCAGCTTAGCCATTAAGGAAGATGGAGAGTTATGCTCCAGAAGACTGGAAATGTTCAGCTTGGCAAAGAGGCAGGGAATTTGCTAGCTGGACAAGACCCTGACCCTGTTTTTCCCTGAGGTCCTCAGATGGAGACACATGAGAAGGAGAACCAAATGAGCAGAAGATGAGAGGGAACTGAGATCTCCTCTGGCTTCTTCTCTTCCAGGGCTCAACCCCTCTCCTCCAATTTCCCCTTCATTTCTGGGTGTTGTTTTAGCTGGAAAGTCTTTATCAACTTTCCCAACCTCTAAGCTTGATTGATGTCCCAAAGTTCTGGAAAAGTATGCAAAACATCTCTGTGCAGTCCTTGGAATGTCTTTTTTTATTAAATTCCTTTCCGTCATGCAGACTCAATTAAAGGAGAGGTTTTATGCCTCAGAAGAATAGAAATATTAATTCAGAGCTATCTAGCTATCTCTGACCAATTTCAAACCAAGTCCATCTTTCAGAAGAGACTCTTGGTTGCTTTTGAAATTCTCCTTCATCCCTCAACCATTGAAGTCACCAGTGGCTGGCTTGGTTTTATGTTTCAGGTTTGGGCGAGTGGGAGGGGGCCGTTAGAGCTTAGGGAAAAGACAAAGTTGTTTTTTTTATTCATTAGTGGCTCTCGGGGCTGCTATACTTTTTTCTGGAATTAATTGAAGATGACCTCCACTGTGAAAGTTGCCTTAATATGAAGCTGGGCTCACATGTTGGCACTGAACACAAATGCTGGCTGAGGAATTCTGGGAGCTGAAGTCCACAGGTCTTAAAGTGGTCAAGGTTGCAGATCCCTGCTCTAGAGGTTAAGGCACCCACCTAGAAAGGGGGAGAGGAGCTGGCTGGGTGACCTTGGGCCAGTCCCTCTCTCTCCGTCCATCCTACCTCACAAGGTTGTTGTGGGGAAAGCCGTAGGAGGAAGTTCTGTAGGATATGTTCGCCGCCTTGAGTTAGTTGTAAAAATAATAAAGGTGGGATAACAAAAAAAAGAAAAAGAAAAGAAAAATTAAAATTAGAAACACCTTGTTATCTCTGCTGGTATTATGGAACACTTTATGAGACGAATGAATCCAGGAGGGTTCCGAATCTCACCCCGTGACTGGTTCAGGCCCGCGAAATGGCATCCTGCCCTTCTTTAAAGCAGTTCCTGCTTGGCGTCTCTCCTTCCAGCTGCTGAAGGGCATGGCTGCCTCTCATCGGAGAAATCTGGACCGTCCTGAAGATGAGGAGGGGGCTGAGAGCGGTGATTGCGACGACGAGGATGCCTGCAATGAGGCTGCGGTTTCTGGAAATGGCGAATTAAAAGTGAAGAATCAACTAAGGTTTCTGGCAGGTAAGGGGGAGCTGGAACTGTGCTGTGGCAGCCACCATTGGATCGCAGGTAGTCCTCAAATTACGACCGCGGCTGGGAGCGGCATCTTGGTCATAAGTTCTTGCGGTTGTAAGTTGAAGTGCTACATGACTGGACTTGATTGATGGCCGTTTTTAAGGGGGTCAATAAGCAAGTTGCCATGGTCGTTCAGAGAAACATGTGGTCGTAAGTGTGACGCAAAACTTGGAGAGTCCGTCCGAGGCCACCGTTGCAAAGAGGGTGAAAGAATCAGGAGGGCAGGCGCAGATGGGGGGAAAAAATAGCATCCGAGCATTTAAGCTCTTTCCACCACATCTAAGATGTTTGGGGCATCTGTGGTGGCAGCTAGCTTGATTTTTTTCAAGACCAGATATCCCTCTTAGTGGCCTATTTTGGGGAAAGTCTGTTGGGAAAAACTATTTACCTTATCATGATAAAAAAAATAGTTTCCAAGAAACTGGAGTCTGTTCTTTCTTTCTTTCTTTCTTTCTTTCTTTCTTTCTTTCTTTCTTTCTTTCTTTCTTTCTCTCTCTCTCTCTCTCTTTCTTTCTCTCTCTCTCTCTCTCTCTCTCTCTCTCTCTCTCTCTCTCTCTCTCTCTCTCTTTCTTTCTTTCTTTCTTTCTCTGGCTGACTTGGATGTTGGACTACACCTCCCCTTCGGGCTCAAAAGCTCCAGTCGCCCATCTCCCATGACCAAAAGCAACTGAACCTGGAAAGAATCAGTCCTGGAGCTTTCAAGTTTAAAGAGGAACAATATAAAATGTTTAAAATGAGTCCAGATGCTTCCATAAATCCTCTCCCCTTGATCTGCCACAATTACCTGGCATTTAATGAGTGGAAGCAGAGAGGGTGCTGCCTGTCGGATTCTCTTGCGTGTGAGGGTGAGGGTGCACGCGTGTGCGCATATGCAGGACTAGCCACTCTTACTCCCTAAATCAAACTCTCTGGTGATGAAAGAGCCAGGGAAGCCAGAGCGGGTGTCACCCTCCCTGGCCTAAGAACCAGGCTGGAAGAGGAGACCCCCGTGGGTTTCATAAGGAGGGTTCTTATCCAGCCTCTGAGGACCAGAACAGCACGGAGCGTGATTCGATCTCATGACATTTTCTTTCTTAACGAGCTGCAGCTGCGGGAAGAAGAGCCAGCCAGCTGGGGTTGAGCCCCTTTTCGGTTATTTGGATTTCTCAAGCCCCTCCCTCCCCTCCCCCCAGGATGAGATGGGAAGGCCAGGGAAATCGTAGGGTTTGGGGGTCACGGAAGGGAATTTTGGAAATCATCTCGCATCTCAGCTGCTCTGCTCCAAATTAGCAGCCTCCCCTCCCTGCAGTTGATTAGCGGGGGGGGGGAGGGCTTGCTGGACCTGGAGGTGGGTTTGGCAGGCAGGCAGAACAACCACTGTGGTGGCTCACTGGAGAACGTAGTTCCTGGGAGAAGGTGATTGATGACAGCTTGGAGGCAGAAGGCTGTCTGTCCACGTTATTCTGGGGGTTGTGTGAGGAACAGCCAAATGGATACAGAGGCCGCCCTGCTTGTTAGTCAAGAGAGGATTTAGAAAGTTACGTGTACCAATTTCCATGCTTTTCTCTAGCTGCCTTGGATGGTTGGGACATTCAGCGAGAGGGAGGGAGGGAGGGAGGAGAGTGAATGAGAGAAAGGAAGGATTCTAGTCCTCATTGTTCTGAGCAAAAGGACAGATGCAGGAGAGAGTGAAGAGAAGAGAAGACAACAAGGGTTTAAACCATGTTCTCAGCATACTTCAGGATCCTGGGGGTGGGGGGGGGATCTTATCATCTTTGTCTTTTAAGGCTACCAATTTATCTATTGCAAATTTCAGGGCAGTCAACAACAAAACAATCACGCAAAAAAAATCAATTAAAAATTGATTTATAGCACTAAAAAGGGCGGGCAGGCAGACCCAAAAGATGAGCTAGCATAGTAAGAATTCTTGGTGCCTAATTAGTAGCTGAAGAAATCTTGCCTGAAATCCTCCTTGGCCAGGCAGTTCTGCCCCTGAAGTGTCCTGGCCCCAAACGCCTTTTCCCCAGCCACCCCACCCCCACCCCTGGCATCCATGGGTGGCCCTGGGGAGAGGAAGAGCAGCTCTGCTGTTGGGGCTTCTCTTGAGCCACGGGGATCAAGCCATGTAGCGGATGATCCTAAAGACAGAACAGTCACAAAACTGCTGCTTCTTGCAATGACAGAGATAAATAAATTTGCAGGCTAGAGCCCTGTTGGTGCCTTTGTCGTGGGGAGGGAATATGGGAAGGAACAAGGCAGGAAATCCTGAATTAACTCAATGACTGGAGCATTGTTTCCGTCCCTGCTTACGAGAGAGAGCACGTTTCCAGGCAGACTTTTAGCCTGTCGGAAGGGATTGTGTTTATAGCAAACACAGTTCCCGTGTGATTCTTCAGGAGTTGGGTTGCATATGCCAAATCTGGAGTGGGGCTTGTGTGGGGCCTGCTTACAATCTGGAGATTCCTCCTGCTTTGGTCTGGAGACACCCCGGGGGTGTGAAAAGACAGGCAGGTGGTTTGCAGCGGGAGGGGGAGGAAGAGGAGGAGGAAGGAGAGGAATAAAGAGGAGGAGAGGGAGAGGAGAAGAGGAAAAGGAGGAGGAGATGAAGAGGACAAGGAAAGAGGAGGAGGAGAAAAGGAAAAGAAGGAAGAAGAGAGGAGGAGGAAGATACGGGCCTGGCAAACCTATCTGGTGGCCACAGTTTGGAATCTGAAGTGCGGATGCTTCGAGTTGGAAATGGCTGTTCGAATGAGTTCAGAAGTGCCTGTGAGCCTCTCAGAGCTCCCTTTTCACGTCTGGAGGGTTTCTGGAAGGGTCAGGAGCAGCTTCAGACTGGAAACCGGTTCTGCAGAAGAGTAGGCCGGGCAGAGGGATGGATCTGGAAGCCACGCTTTCCACTCTGGTCTCGCTGGGGATGGTTCCCCTCCCCTCCCGTTCCTTATTTTCAAAGATTTTTCAGTATCGAAAACGTTGACTTCTGCTCTGTGGTGGTTCGTCTGCACAGGATTCCCATGGGTGGGTGGGTGGGAATGGCCTTGCCTCTCCCCTTCCTCTTCTCGGTCTTCCCTGCCAGCAACTCTTGTTCCCACAGCTATAATTTCACTTTGTCAAATGAAAAGCAGCGCATAGATCCAAAAAAACATGTGAGTTTGGTTTCCTGCTTTTATGTCCCCAAACCAGAAGTCTCTAAACCGGGGACTCTTCAAAGAGGAGCCTGGCGGCTTTTTTTTTTTTGCACTCCTGGAGGGTGAGTTGACCAGGTGGAGCCACAGCGTTCCCCACTGCTGCAGGAGTCAGGGGCTCCGAAGTGGTGCATTAGTTTTCCTGGACCATCGTTAGTTGAAAGGAACAAAAAGTGGACAGGAGCAAGAGAAACACTGCAAGGGTAGTCCTTAGCTTACAACTGGCTGCTTACCACCTCTTTGGGGTTACAATGGACTCCCCAAAAGTCATTTACAGCCCAGTTTCAAAGTTCCGAGAGCCTCACGTGATTCCATTTGGGGTGTTTGGCACCCAGCTCCCCTTTGCAACTTTTTACAGCCTCCTGCTGTTGTGTGACCACGGTTTGTGATGTTGTTTAGCAAAAACTGGTGTTTATTTCTGGTTTTCAGCCCAAAAAAAAAAAAAATCCATTGGGTACAATAGGTACACTTAATGATCCCCGTATTTGTTTAACAACCACTGCCACAATAAAATAGCTGGGTGTGGCCACCTGGTGACCTGCTTAACAATTGGCATGACTTACCTTTGTAGTTCTGGGCTCAATTACGGTAAGTTGAGGACTATCTGTAACGATCCTCAGTATAGTGATTTTTTAAAAAATAGTTTTAAAAATTTCTTGCAAGGTTTTATTAAAAACAATCATTGGCCAGATTTAAATATTTCTTTTACTGTTTTATGTCACCGTGTGCCTTTGTACATGGCTGGATGGCCTTGAAGAGGGCTTCCCCAGGGTCAGCTGCTTAAAAGTTCAAAAGATTAGTTTTCCTTTTAAATCAGTATCAGCCAGGCATATTTTCCTGAGTTTGCGGGCTACCAGTAAAAAGCGGCTGCTTATTTAAGGAGATGTTAACCAAATGCATCTCCTTCAGGTATCCCCTTTAAAGCAGCCTTTTTTTGCTTTGGACCCAATGCCCAGCACACCCTGGTCTGCACTGTGTTTTGGGGGCTCTTCATAAGGTTTTGAATCATACCCAAGTGGAAATAGCTGGCTGTTTTACGAGATGTTAATTCTACCCCTAGCTGGGGAGAGAAGCTGAATGCAAATGGATAGACTTCTGCTGAGAACCAAAATCTGGGCCTTCTTGTTCCAAACGTGTTTATACATTTGCTGGAAGGTTTGTTATCTCCCCCCCCCCAAGCATGTTTTTTTAAAGGAAGAGGACCTTGCTAGGAAACTGAGACTTCTTCGTCCACGTGTAAATGTCTTAAAAAAAATAAAACAACTTGCTGCTTTCTTTTCTCTTCCTGTTTTAAGTTTCCCTTGACCACCTCAAGAGTTTCCAGTTTGTTTGCTTTGAAGGCAGAACCTGCAGTTTTTTTCGGCCGGGGTTTTTGGTGCCCCTGCCTTGGAAGTGGCTTTAAGCAATTCCGTGCCTGGTTGTCGGAATTGGGTGGCGAGGGTGCAGTTTGGTCCCCTTTTTTCGGCCTTTTGGGTTCACCTTTTTACTTGCTTTGAAAACGGGCTCACGGTGTGACTTTTTAAACACACCTTTGCAATCCCTGACTGTTTTAGTTTTGATTTCACATCCCTGCTTTTAACTCTTGACAGTTTCTTACTGTGGACCAGCAGCAATGAGGGCTGGTAGGAAGGTGAATTGAAAGTGGTTTCAATTTGGGATGCAGAGACTTCTGGACGTAGGTTTTTTTTCCCTGCAAAGTGCTGGACACTTATTTTCAACTTGAACAGCTCAGGGGTCTGTATTTTGACACATGGTCATCGCTACGACTGACTCCTGTTCATTTCT